ACAAGGATTGTGGGCGCCGAGAACAAAGGCCATAACTGAGACCCGCGGCAGCCTGACCTCGCTTCGCAACGAGGAGCCACGGCCAGACGGAACCCGAGCCAACGGCGCTCCCCCACGACTGCCTTTCACAAACATGACCGGCCACTCAACGACCCAGCCGACTACAACAACAACAACGCACAACTCACAACTCACAAGCCGGCCTTCCACTGTCCTCCCTGCAATGCCGCCTGCTTCGCTGGTCGGAAACCCCTCCGACCGTGGCCCACGCTCATCTGACCTTGACTGACCGCCTTGTTGGTCCGCCGCTGAACCCCGACAGCCGCCCTACAGCCCCGTCCCCTGCCCGTCTCAGGCACAGGGGTCACTTTCGTCGGAGCCAATCACACTGCTGGATCCGCCATCCCTGCGAACATCCCGCCCTTCCCTGCCTCTGCTTCATGCACGAGGGCCAAAATCTTCTCCTCCTGCCCTCCTTCATGACCATCCGCAATCTCACTGGTTCCATTCTTCTCCAACGCCCCGGAGCCTTGAACGATATTCTGTGCAGCTCAAACCGCACACCTGCGCCGCCACTTACATACTTACATATGTATGGATGCGAGACTTGGGAATCAGATTTGAATTTGCGTCAAAGACCACATCGTGGATCCAGACCCGTCGGAGCACATGCCATTGCGGACAGGTGCATTGCGCTCCATCTCCGGATGAGATTCTGCCCGTCAGCGTCAGCGGAGCCTCTCTTTTCTTTTCAGACCACATCATATGCCATGCAGATGACATTTCAGCCTCTTTCATCATCAGACTTCTCTTTTGACAACATCAGACCGAACTAAGCTCAGGAAGAGTCTCGGGGGCGAAGCAATCGCTTCCTTTCAAGCAGCATCTACCCTGTCAGCATCGTTCATCCTTGATCCAAGCATAGAGTTTGAGGGGCGGACGCCCATGACGTTTGGCAGAACCCTTCAGTCTGGGAAAAAACGAGAGAAACTCCTTCACCTCGCCGACTTGCATCTATTGTATTACGTACCTTCGTCGGAACTTCGGGGGGAACGAAGTCAAGAGTAAACTGGATCGCGTGGCAAGTTTGATGACTGATCGCCGTCTAACTTCAACACAACTCGCAGCACTTGAACCGCGAGCTGTCTAACAGTACCTCGGCCCCGCCATCTGCACTGGCCACGGCTGTGAATCTCATTCTTCTTTCGTAGACCACGTCTAGTAGATGATGTTGCTTTTCTGCACAACCAATAAATGCAGATTGTTCAAGAGTGAAATAACGCTATAGAATACATAACAAGGAATAGGAAACCACCCGAGAGTATAGCACCGGCTCAGTCGGTGGCTGGTGCGCGAGAAATCAAGGTTTAGAGCACTTAACTCGGGAGAAACATTGTCACTCATGCTATCTGACCTATTTTGAGGTGGCTTGTCCATCTGTCCATACGCCGATATACTTCATTTGCAGCACGTGAATGTCAGGTCAAGTACACAACGAAACAACCTGGCTTCAACTACTAGTCAAATTGTTGTTGTCACTTGATGAACGTTGCTTCCCACCTCGGCGTAAGCACAGCGGGAACCTGCAACTGACTTTTAGAATATTGAAAAGTCAAGTTACCATTACTGTCGGTGCTCGCCTCATTACGTGATTATAAGGGTGCGGCTTGCGATCTCATAACTCAACACTAGCAATCGAAACACGGCGTATAATTCATAAGGGTAATGTTGTCCCATGCGTGTTCTTCTACCAGAGTTCACCCTGGCGTTCTAAGCTAATCAGCCCTCAACGGCTCCGAAAACGTCGTCATGTCCGCGTCGTCATCATTATCCACCATCTGAATGCCCTTGAAGCTCTCGTCGTCGTCATCCGAGTCCTCCTGTGCTGGAACAGGAAGCGTCTTTGGCCTCACAGGCAACTCAGGACGAGCGTGCGACTTTATCGCACCATCGCTCTGGAATGGATGGCCGAGGGCAGGTCTTGACGAAAGAGCAATCTCCTTCCTCGCTTCAACCGTCTTCTCGAGGGCTCTAACGGGCGTGGTCTGCTCGCTGTTCTGGCCAAGCGAGCCAAGATTGAGGGGGTCAGCAGCTCTCGAGCTGCTCGACTGCTTGGCTTGTGACTGAGGATCTAGACTCATGAGATCTTCGTGGTTGGGTGACGTTGGCTGTTTCCTGCTCTGACTGAGGGAGGACAGATTCAAAGGGTCACTGCCCTGATCACCAAGGGGATCAAATGCCTCCGAGACCGAAGAGCCTCCAGTTCTAGACACCTTGTTGCGGTTCGGATTCTTCTTCTTTTGCACTGGCGGATCGGGGTGAAGAGGGTGGCGTAATTCATTAGGAAACCTGGCGGTCTGCTTCGACCGAATCGGCTGCGGCTCTGAGGCGGGATCGGGCTGTGCTTCAAGCTGGATAAGCTCGCCCATTTGCGAGCCCGCCTCCTCATCCGTGATTTTGATGTCCTCGTCCTTCTCGATGGCTCCTTCGCCACCCTTAACGTTGGGGAAACCGCATCGAGTCAGGATCTTGGCGATCAAGCTGGGATACCGCAAGTGCCCGCTGACCTCTGCACTCAGGTTGAGGTTCTCGACCCTATCAATGTCCTTCACCTCCTGAAGACCAGCGATACCCAGCTGGAGTGACGTCGTACGATACAGAAAGCCGAGAATGTAGTCGGTCTCAGAGTAGACGTTCACGATACGTCCAGACACCACCGATCGGAGAACTTGCCAGTGTTCCCGGTTAGATGGAACCGGTGCCCCAATCAGAACCACAGTATCGACCAGCCCAAAGGCCTTTCGTTCAGCAAGTGACTTGAGACACGAGTAAATCACTCGAGCACCCAGGGAGTACCCAACCAAAGTCACCGGTCGTTCGCCCTGGACCTTGGCGATGAGAGCATCGGCAAGAACACGGCCAGCTTTGTCTGAACGGTTCCGCGCGAGATTAAACGGGTTGTCGATTTTGGTGGCGGCGCTGATGAGGTAGGCAGGCCACAAGGCGGCCCAGAGGGAAGCCAGAACTGTCCGCTTGAGGATCTCCACCTTGACAAAGTTCCAGGCGTAAGACGACACCATGTTTTCCAGCTCGGCGCCGAGAGCAAGGAGGGCTTTCATCTCGTACCGCAGGGCAAAAACCTCTGACTCGTCGCCCAAACTCCTCCAGGGCTTCGTGATATCGCCCTCGTCCGTAAGCCATCCGTTGACGCCGATAGTCACACGGAGCCGTGCCCCTTGCTTTCCATCCGGATCTGCCCGTTTGTAGTCCTGGCCCCATTCGTCCTTGAGCGGGAGGAAGCGGAAGTCCTCGACCTCTTTGGCGTAGGTGTCCATCATCTCGCCCGTCATCTTGGCGCCGTAGGCACCAAAAAGTGTGCCGACAAGCGCGCCATTCATCCAAAAGATACCGAGGAAACTGGCAACACCTCCCAGGCCAACGCTGCCCATGAGACCACCGATCGCACCGGCAACGACCGGCGCTGCCAGACCACCAGTGATTCCGATTACGGCTGCGCCAGCCACGGATGCTAAACCGACCTTCCAGAAGCGGCTCTGCTTGTTTTCTTCCCGTCGCTTTGCGGCTTCAGCCTCTGCTGACATACCTGCCTTCTGATTCTCGGTCGCGGTCGAAGATTCGACCAAGGACTTTGCAATCTCTGTCTCCTCCTGAATGAGAGCTGCAATGGGAAGCTCGAAGGCGGAACACAGGTACAGGGCCAGAACTCTGGAATGAGCAGAGTAGCAGCCAGTCGAGAGAATGAGAAGCAAGAGACAGCTGAGAATCTCCTTTCGATCTTCAAGCGGGATGGTAGTGAAACAGTTTGGAATAGGGTGGTAGTGCTCTTGCAGGATAGCAACCTCCTTGCTAACCTCCTTCGCCCCTGGGTTCACGGGCGGCGCATTCCCAAAGTTGATCAAGTCCTCCCCGGCGCTAGGAGACTCCCGCCTCAGCTTCTCCATCTCGTCGAGACGCTTCTTACGAGCCGCGAGGATCTTGTCATCATCCTTGGCAGATGCAATCTCCTTGACCTTGTCCAGAAGCTCCTTGCGCCACTCGTCGAAATGCTTCAGTGCCGCCTTACGAAGAGCCACAAGCTGGGCGCTGTGCACGCCGGAGCCGCCGCGGTCTGGATGGCTTGGGCTGCTCCGACCGCCTTGACCCGCCGCGTCCGGGACGAAGAGTGGTGCCGCATTGCGGTCCTGGGGTGAAGGGCTGGCGGCTGTTGAGACGTTATATTCGCCGTCCCTGAGCTCGAGCTGCGTGCGCATGTAGCCAGTAATATCAAAGAGTAGCGTGTAGAATACTCGGCGACGGGCCGGGTTGAGGACCACCATCAGCTGGCGGGGATCCGCAGCAAGGGGAGCCATGGTTGCAATCACCGCTCACTTCATGCAGATGACTTTGATAGTGTAAGGTACTTGGTTTGTAAAGTTGTTGCAGATCCGCAGTTTTGTCATAAGCTTAAGAGGAAAACAGAGCTGAAGACTGTGAGAAGAGGACAGGTAGGAAGAGGGATGAAGTCAATTCAGATGTAGGTTCCGAAGGCGATCTAGGCAGACGCCTGTCCATTAGGAGGATGGATGGATCAACAGGCCCCTTCGTCTCGCTGCTTGCCTATTCCGGCTCTGTGCCACGCTACAGCGGTGCAGTTGCAGGACGGGCGGTGAAAACGCCCCAGTCTTACCGCTGTAAGGCGGTTTTGGTTGCCCGTGCCCCGTCGTCCGTGCTAATTTCCACCCACCTTCTCCATCTTTGCATCATTCTTGGGTAAGGAGGAACTGCCTGCTGTAGATCAACGCAACAGCTCAAGCCACGTCGACAACTTCATTCACATTGTTTCCAAGACATTCAACGACGCAAAGGGGAAGTAAAAATGCCGCTTGGAATGAGTTATAGCCTCTTGAATTATTTGCATATGCCTCCATGATATTCCCAAACACCAGCGTCCTGTTCGGCGCCGCAAAACACTTTTACTACACACCTCACTCGACAACTTTCTACTCACTGTCATCCTCCATGACATCGTCCTCTTCATCCTCATCCTCATCCATGTCATCGGCATCTTCGCCATCCTCGCCGTCCATGAGCTCGTCACCGTACTCTTCCTCAGAATCGTCACCCTCAGCATTGGCAGCAAGAGCCTCCTTCTCCTCCTCCTTGCGCTTCTTCTCATCCTCTTTCCTCGCCTCTTCCAGAGCCTTGGCCTTCTGCTCACGCATCTTGCGCTGCACGACGACGTAAGCACCGAGTGGCGTCTTCTCCCAGTCAAAGTCGCGGAGGAAGGCATCCACCTGAGCGCGGTCCTTGGGTGCGAATTCGACCTTTGACCGCTTCTCCTCGATGAACTTGGCGTTGGCCTCCAGCTTCTGCACCAGGAGAACGATCATGGAGATGACCTTGTTGTTCTTGTTGCCCGTGCTGATCTTATGCGCCTGTTTAACCCAGCGCTTCAGCTGAATAATGACAGGCAGGGAGAACTCAGGGAAGGCAACGTTCTTCGCCCAGATGGTGAAGTACTCGCTGAAGAGCTCAACGAGCTGCTCTCCCACCCCATCCTGGTAGACTCTTGTGCGGTGGTAGGACTTGGGCGCCTTGTAGGCGAGGTTGAAGTCGAGCGGCTTGATGGATGACGCCTTGGGGAAACGCTTCATATCGGCCGAGTCGAGGACCTCGAGGAGCGCGGAGGCGAGGGGAATATAGGTGTCTGTTGCGCGAGACAGGCGCAGGATGGAGCGAACCAGGTGGAAACGTTGGGGGAAGAACGTGGAGGAGGGGACGAGGCGCATGGCACCCATGGTCACCTGCACGAGGGGGTAAATCAAGAGCTTCAATTGGCCCTCCTTGCCCGCTTCCGCCTCCTTCAGGGGACTGCAGTGCTCGGCGAGTACACATGACCAGAAGTCGAGCGAGTGGGTATATTGCCAGTTGTAGATGATCTTGTGCGAGTTCTTCTCCTTCTTCACGATGCTGTTTCTCAGATGGATGGCCAATTGGCGAATGAAAGTGAAGGCCGTCGTGTAACCGACGTTTTGGTCGATGCCCCAAAGTTCTGCGGCAGAGCTCTTCATCAGGTTGATGCCCTGAATGGTGTTGGTGTTTGTTGCTCTGGATCCTGACACAAGTCCCTGGTAAACCGCCTTTAGAACGGTCTCACGAACACCCTTGTCTCCGATGACTACCAGTTTCCTCAGAACGAGGAAAGCAGTAATCTTTGTGGGTTCTGAGCTGGCCGGTCTGGCCCAGTAGTTGACTACCGTCTTGATAAGGACCTTGAGGAGCTTTCGGAAGGAAAGCAGGTAGGGCACGAGCGGCTCTAATGACCCGAGAGTGAGCTTGAGGGTGGCGTCGTCGGACAACGTGCCGAGCAGGTGGATGATGGATGCAGTGAATGTCTTGATCATGATCGAGAGGGTGTGGAACTTCTTGGAGTCGGTGGGCACGTAGATCTTGCCAGAGGCAGACTCCTTGATGGGAAGGTGGTGGGAAACGACAGCGGGAATCTGCTTCAGGGCGACAATCAAGACGTCGTGGAACACCTCGGGGCTGTTGATGCTGTATCTTTGCGCTGCTGCAGAGCTCTCCTCGGCGTCGTCCTCGTTGAGATGGGCAGCGCAGCGGAACGCCAGCACGATCTGTCTGGCAGCGCGCAAGCTCTGCTTCTCCACAATCAACTTCTTCCACTTGGCGACCATCTCGCGTGTGAGCTCGTTGTCGAGCAAGACCTCCTCTTCGGCCTCCTTCTTGGCCTTCTTCCGCTTCTTCTTCGGTTGCTCGTCCTCCGACTGGTCGCTGCCGGCACTGAGCTCATCGATCTCAGCCATGTCGGCATTCTCGTCGAAATCGAGGGCTTCGGGGTCGTTCTCCTTCAGGAACTTATAGAACTCGGGGTCGTCGGTAGCGAGCTTGTCCATAGCTGCCTGTGTCATGCCGAGGTTCTCGTCGTCCGCATCGTCATCTTGGGCATCGTCCTCGCTGTCGCTGCCAACGGGTTGGTCCTCGACAGAAAATTCGGAGCCGCTGCCTGCATCCGAGTCCTCGTCGTCTCCCTCCGGCGCACCGCGCTTCCGCTTGCCAGTCTGCTTCTTGCCCTTCTTCTTGTCGATAATGTCCTCGAAGCCACCCTGGAAAAAGTCGTCAACGCTCATGGCGCTCACGGTAGCATCCTTCTGGTTGCCCTTTGGCTTTTTCGCCGCAGGGTCGCCCTTGAAGAACTCTTCATCCTTGGGCCGCTTCGACTGCTTCTTCGCCTTGACCTGCGCGCGCTGCTTGATCTTCGCCGTTTCCTTCCTCTTGTCGAGAACACCCTTCAGGTGCTTCTTCTCGAACTTCTTCGTCGCCTTGAGGTTCTTCTTGGAGGAACCCATGGTGAACGGTTTGGAGGGGGCCGGTCAATTGGGATCCTGCTATTGGGGAGTGGTGGGAGAGGAAGGAAGCGGCTGCAGGGACTGTGGAACGGGAACTTCAATGGCAGAACGCTCAGCAAAATTTTTGGAGGAGCTTATCTTATCTTCGAGTCCCGCTAAGCCATCTATGGCCTTAGCGCTACCAGCTGCCCCACGTCCAACGCTGAGGCTCCTGCTGCGGAATGGAACCTGGACACCCATGTCTGACTTTGTCTTGGAGGTGGTGTGCCTGGCCACTGCGACACTCATTGCAGCTCGACAGCTACCGCGAAGCTGTCTGTGCCTGACGACCGCCGATCGACCATGAAGCCGGCGACGACTCGAACCCAGCCGCAAAGATGATGCCCCGGCAGTCCTATGCGCCTACGCCGCACAGCTATATCCCGAATACGACCTTGTCAGCAACAATCAATCTCGATGAGGTACCGTGCCCGTTCTCTTGTTCTTCCACCGCCCAGCGAGCGACCATGTCATCTGCCCCGCCCCCCGCAGCGCAACGCAGTCGTGCTAACATGACGATGCCTCGCAACAGGAGGTGAAGCTGGCCGACACCCGCGCCGAGCGCGACCTACAGGACTCGCTCGCCGAGATCTTCAGCATCATCGTCACCCTCGACGAGCTCGAAAAGGCATTCCTGAAGGACGCTATCCCCGAGGCTGACTACACCGAGATCTGCGAGCGCTCTCTGAAGCAATACAAGTCCATCTTGGCCGACGAAACCGTCGCGAAGGCCTTTGGAGGCCTGGAGGAGTTCAAAGCGGAATGGGACGTACGTACCATTTTCCACATCAAGCCACCGCTCTATTCACGACCCTGATGCTGACAATGTGTTTCTACCAGCTCGAGGTCCCCCGCGCAACGGAGCGCATCCGCGTCGGCATGCCCTCGACAACCGTCAACGCCTCTTCCAGCGCCGCCCCGGCTCCCGCTGCCGCAGGTAATACCAGTGGCGCCTTGATTTTGGAGGCCACTCAGGAGTTCATCACCTTCCTCGACGCCGTCAAGCTAGGCCTCCTCTCCAAGGACCAGCTGCACCCCTTGCTCTCCGACGTCATCCAGTCCGTCAACAAGGTCACAGACCGCGACTTCGACAGCAGGGGCAAGATTGTACAGTGGCTCATCACTCTGAACCAGATGAAGGCCACAGATGAGTTGAGCGAGCAGCAGGCCCGTGAGCTGGAGATGGACATCCAGCAAGCCTACCAAGGATTCAAGAGCACTCTCACTTGATGATCTTTTCCGAGTTTCGAGGGGGGTGATAGTTCTTCTCTTTGCAAGTAGATACCATTGTAGAGCAATCATGCATGTGCCTTTTCACATCCTACCGTTCCGCTGCCCAGTGACCTTACTTTTGATGCCATGGTATCAAACAGCAAGACCCAAACGCCGGCGTCTATACCAAAAACGTCCAGAAGCTGGGATACACGAATTCGTTTTCGAATATCCTCCTCACCTGCTCCAGCACGAACCTCTCCACCTTGCCCACGTTCTTGAGGCTCTGCTTCCCGCCGTCCCTCAACCCAATCTCGCTCTCGACCTGGATCTCCTGCAACAGCCCGCCAAACCTCTTCCCGGGCTCCGTGGGCCCCGCCTCGTCCACACCAACCGCAGTTGCAGCGTCCTCGGGGTTCAAGAAGCAAAAGTGCACCCTCTTACGGATATGCGCCATCACGCCGATCCCGTCAAACGTCAGACCCGTCACGCTCAGCTGCACGGGAATCCCCACAAAGCTGGGCATCGGGTAGTCGAGCAGAATCTCCGCCGTCAGCCGCAGCCGCACGTCGCCCGCGTACCGAATCCTGAAGACGGCCTGCAAATCCTCCGGCCTGGGCTCCCGGAACCGCGGCGCGTTCTCGTCCTGTTCCTCGTCCTCTTCCTCCTGGATCGGCGCAGAGCCGGCGGGAACGTGTGTATCCCTTGTCGGAGGTCGCGACGCCCCGGCTGATGTGGGCGCCAACGTCGACACGCTCGCCTTCTCCCGCAAGTCTTGCTGCTGCTGGGCGAACGCCGCCGGGTTGAAGTCGCTGGGTGATATCGAGCTCAACGAGGCATGGCGGCTGTGGCTCGGCGAGTAGCCATTGAGCAGCGGCGAGCTCACGGGCGACACGACGGCTGACGTGTCCAACCTGTTACCCATATGCGCGCCAGCTACCGCCGCGAGAGGCGTCTGCGTGCCAGACCACCCCGTCCCGAGATGGGACTGAAAATAGTGCAAATTCGACGTCCCGCCCAGAATCCCCGGCGTCGACACCCCCAAAAACGGACTCGGAAAGTCGCCAGACTGACCCCGGAGCGGATGCGTCCTCAGCCTCGGCGGCACCGAGATATCCTCCATCTGCCTCCTCCTCTCAGCCGCCCTCAGCTCGCTGGGCACCTGCTGCGGTGTCGGCGGCGTCGGCTCGGGGACGTCCTCATCTTCTTCCTCGTCGTCCTCGATGTCTGGGTTCTCTTCGTAGAAATCCGGCAGAGGGTCCGTGATGTCCTTGAGCTCCAGCTCTGGCGCGATGGCGCCGAATTCAAAGTCGTGTACCTTTACGGATTTGATGAAGCGCGGCAGCGGAACCGCCTGGAACTTTGTGTGGATGAAGTCGCGGATCCGGAGGGCCAGCGCCTCTCCATCGGGGCCCGTGGTGAGCGTCTCCCAGTTGAGATCTATTGACATTAGAGATGTGCCGTGCCGTTCTCTGTGTAATGTCCAAATTTGAAATGGTTGCGACTGTGTAGAACTAGGCTCACGAAGTGAGATGAATCGATGTTGTTTGAGTTGAACAGGGTTTGAGCTTTCTAGGCTACATGCCAGGGTGCCTTGCTGACGCCGCTGAAAGCTTTTAGTGGCCTTTGCAGCAGCTTAGCGGCCCTAAATGGTGCCTCACCGCTGTGGATTAAGATACCTAACCACCTGACTGCATCCACTCGAGAAATACACGGTTTCTTCCATATCACGTCTGTTCAAGAAATGCACCCTCACGCCGAGATTATTCATGTAAAGATACCTTGGGGTCATTGATGTCATTACTGGGTATCTGAATTTCAAGGCCGTATATCATCAACGCCATTTCAGCTCCGCCCTCGCTGCAGCACACCAACCCATGCTAACATTGGACTCCATGTTCTCCTTATTGCTTTCCATGTTCAAGTAAACGCCTACAATGCAGTAATCCGTTGCGATTTTTCGAATGACGGGGCTCTGAGCAAAGACCGTTGAAGACTGGGACCGAAACAGGCTGCTCACTCAAGCTTGACATCTGATTCAAAACGCGGTCTCATGGTGTTGGCCATTTGAGGTGCGCCAAATTGATGCCAGCAGTTTGGAGCTTGAAGAATGTATCTGTATGATACGTTAGTTTCTATGCAGTTCAGAATGACTAGAAGAGACGTACCTAGCCATAGCCTCTCGGAAGCGAGACTTATACTCCTTTGGACTGGTGACAGTCGGGCGGTTTCTGCCACCACCCGCGAACCCGCGGTCCTTGATCCAACTTTCGAGTTTCTTGTCCCATGTGTACGTACGAATGCAATCGATGATGCCGACGACTAGCTCTCTCTTAGCCTCGTCGACTGCAATCATCAACGAATAGTCCATAACGTTCTGACGTGCAAGGAACAGAGTGTCATTCCAGACCTGGTCTGTTAGCAGTGCTTTGCAACAAAAGCGGGTTGAAACTTACCGATGCTCTCAGGAGCTTCTTAGAATGCTCTCGCGCAAACAAGGGCGACTCATATATGAATTCTACCATGTTTTCGTCCAAAAGGACTTCGTTTTGTTCGCCTGTGGACTGAATCTTTCGGTTTCGCATGGACCCTTTCAGATCGAAAAGACGAGTTGGGCCGCGATCGTAAAACAAATTTTCCATGAGCAGCAGATCCAGCTTGATCTCGATACCTGTGACAGGGTTCTTGATGATGAGTTGAAAGAATCCCAGCATCTTTGCGATCACGGAGGGTAGATCGTGGAAGAGAGCCTCTGCCATGATGCCGAAGTAAGCTGGCGCGAATCTGAGGAAGGCGGATGTCTCAATGGGAGACAGACCCTTCAGCACGAGGCGATCGTCGAGAGTCTTGAGAAATACCGACTTGGTCTTGCCTCCCTTCGAGTCCCACTTCAGGCAACGGGAGAGGGACTCGACGATGCGATCCGCAACACCACACTTTCTACGCAATGCGTCGAACTGCTCTGCGTAGAAGATCTTGCAGAGCATTGTTGCGGACCCTTCCTTGAATTGATATTTGAGATGGGTTCCCGTGGCCCTGAGTAGGCTCTTCTCCAACTCACCCTCTTCCATGACGAATTCGCCGCCAGTGTCCGACATGCCTGATGACTTGCCATCCATGTTAGAAGCCTCGTAGTCTCTCTGGATTGCGATACGTTCTTGCCGACGAATATCGGCCAATTTAGTGCGGTAGTCATCGGAGCTTAGAGCGAACGCAATGACAGAACTTGGTTCATCCTCTCTTACAATGACATCGGAGTCTAGGAAAATATGATCGCTGGCGTTGACTGGATAATCGAGCTGAGGCCAGCCGCTTGCCGATCTTTCAGCCCAGAAATTCGTAAGCATCTTCATGAGACTGGTCTTCTGATGTTTTGGCAGTTCGAGAGGGATTTCCGTGCTTGGCTCCAGGGAATCGGCTAGTTCCTTGACATCAGGTAGCAAGTCGTCTAGAATTGACTGTTCAGTATCACTCTGCCCTTCGTCATCAGAACCGCCGTGACTGGCCGTGACAGTCGCAGTATCGTCGGTCTCGCCACCCACGTGTTGCTCTTCTGACGGAGCGGCGGCTTCTGGCGCAGGTTGTGCCTCTTCGACAGGGGGTTCAGGTGTCGGCTCAGTGTGGACCGTGTTGGGTGCCGGTGTAACAGGTGCCGTCTTAGGCTCAAGAATCTTGACGTCGTTGTTGTGATCAGTTGTCGAAGGCCCAGGCTCCTGGACAGCATTGTCGATATTGTGGTAGACTTCAAC